TCATTAAGACTCAAATAGGGATCATAAGGGATATATTTGTAAAATGTGAAAGGATAACAAAATAGTCTTTCATCATTTCAAGCATAAATGGTTAGAACTAATAAATTTATTCTCATTTAGTGTAATGGTTTAGGATTTATAAGAATTGCATTTTTGAGTCTATGACTATCGAATCCACTACATGTTGTTATAAGAATTGCATTTTTGAGTCCATGTATATATATATATATATATATATATATTGAAATGTAGCTCAAAAGACATGGTTCATGGGTAATTGCATATTTTCTTCATTTTATTTTTTGGTTCAAAACTATTTGGTTACCTCAAAATAAAAATTGCTTAAATAAATTATTTATTTGTCATTTTACATAAAGGATGCCTAAACATTGTTTTGAGCAAACATCAAATTATTTTTTAAATAAAAAATTAATTTCAAGATTATTTGGGTAAAAGGTTTTTTCTTTTCATAAAAAATTAACTTGGTCACAATCTTTTGAATTGAGCTATGAAATTAGTTATAAGAGTCAATGACTTTTAAAAAGGATGGGGACTATCTCTTAGCATTTTGCATGACACACCTTAAGGTTCGATCATTTCTGTCATTATTATCATTATATTTATCCAATCATGGACAATAATAAATTGACAAATTGTTACTTTTACAAAAACATCTATTGATTTCATAACAACAATAAAACATATAAAAAGAACACTTTATTAAAAGATGTAATCCCTTACAATACTGATAAATTTTTAAATGAATAACATAGATGTATTTGCAATACTTAGGCATCCATCTCATGGCATTTATGAGTTCTTTGGTTTATTTTATCAAAAACTAAATTGCATATTTTCACCCATCCTTTCATGGAATCAACTAATCAATTCATGCATCACTAAGATCTCTTATATTTATGTTATTATGTTTACCAGTTCCTACACCTCTTGTGACTATATTATATTCACTATTTTTTTCTTTAAAAGATAGTCACCCATTTTGCATCATATTATTCACATGCTCCTTGAATCCATAACAATGATCAATGCAATGACCTACAATTCCTTTAGAATACTCATATTTAGCTTTTTTCTTGTACCATTTAGGAAAAGATAATTGAATGAGCTCCAAGGGTTAAAGTGCTATTAGACTTGCATTCATAAGGTGCTAACAAATGTTAAGGAGAAGAATAAAAAAAAAGTTTCTTCATAATGTTTCCTTTTATGCTATAGGATAAAATTAATGATTAGGTGAAAATTTAATTATAATTTTTTTTTGAAGAAAACCTATGCTTTATTAAGTGTAATGTTTGACCTAAGCATTTAAATAGTGAATTAAATTAGTTTGTTCAATTATATGAAATTTGTGTTTGGTTTTGTTACCTAATGGGTTTGATGATTAAGAATGAAATTGATTTCATAAAAACTTGAATGAGAATCCATGTTGTGGAACTTGACTTAAGCTAATAAATAATGATGAGTTTGGTTGACTTGATTATTATAATGATTGGGGTGACTTGTTTTAGGTGAAATTTAAAATGGATGAATTATTAGAAAATTGACATAAAAACATAAGGAGACAATCCTTAAAGTTTCAACTAAAGAGAGAGAGATGGAAAAATGGATAAAATTGTACTTTATAAATCCTCTAAAATTATTGTTAAATTGATAATTTTCACAATTAATCTATAGGAAAGGATTTGAAATAAAAAAAATGTACATGTTTATGAAATTTTAATTATTTTCCTTGTTATTAGTTTGAGAATAATGGTTGAATAAGAATTGAAATGAAATTTTAATGCTAGTTGAATTAATGATGATAATTGTATCCCTAGTTATACAGGGGAGATAGTTGGGATAAGATAACAACACATGCACAAGCTCCAAGAAGGTGCATTGCACCTTTCTTTTCTCCTGCTTGGAAGATTTCTTAAGTATTTATAATTGTAAATTTTTAAAATGTACATTTATTTTTTAAGAAATTAATACTAAGAAATGATTGATTTGATTAACTATCCTGAGTGGAGTTACTGGTATTAGGGTGATTTATTGTCAAGATATGTGATTGAATAACTGTCCTGAATAGAACTAGTGAAATCAATAAAATTGATGGTTGAGATGTTTAATTGACTAGTTGTCTTGAGTGAAGCTAATATCATCCAGGTGATTGAATATAAAGATATGAAATTGACTAGTTGTCCTAAGTAAGGCTAGCGGTGTTAATATGATTGACTATCAGGATACTTAATTTGGCTAGCTATATGTAGTGGAGCTAGTGATGTCAGTATAACTAGCTTTCCAGACTGTTAATGAATTATTTAGATGGAATCAAATAATTGACAAGTAAAAGAAATTATGCATTTATGTTTAAAGTGTTGATTTTGGATTAATAAAATAAAAAAGGAGGTGCATATGTTCTATTATATCAATTGTTTAATTATATACTCATGTTGTGTAATAAAATGATTTCAGGTTCATCAGATATTGGAGAGGAGCAATAAATTTTTTATAGTGTTTTTTTTTTGTTTAGGTAATGATGATGTAAATATGATTATATTGAATTTTCTTTTTGTAATATAATTTTTGTGACTAACTTTTTGTAATGTAAATTAAACTAGTATTATGATGTATGTTGATTAGTACTTAAAAGTGCATTTTTATCATGGTTTTATATCATCATTTTACACTTGAAGTATCTATAACTCCTTAACTAAAGCATGTTTTATAATAATATATCTAATAATATAAGATACCTTTAATTTATGGTAAATGTTCATTTTAAATGCAAGTCTATCACATAAATGAAAGGATTTTAGTTTGAAATTTAATATAATATTTATTCTTGTTTATTAAATTAATAATACATGTAACTAATTCATCATGTTTTTTATATTCTTAATTATGTTATTAATTGTGAAATATTTTTAATGTGATTGATTATGAATTATGAAATAAAAGGTTTTAAAAGAATAGATAAAGTTATTCTTGGTTGGTGTTAGCTATGGGAAAGGTCCAAGATAGTTGGACTATGAAGTAAGTTTTGATTGTGTGTAGATTGTTGATGTCGACACTTGAAAATGTTTAATTTTAAAAGAAACTCGATGGAAATTTAGATAAATTCTTAAATGACTTTGAAGGTGGTAGCATGTAATCATGAATCATGGATTATGATATTTTTTTAAAAAAATTACCCCGGATTTTCAATGATTCATAACCGGTGATTTATCCAAAATATGTTTTAAAAGTTAAGGTTATTACAATTATCATAGATAATCCATCAGCAACATTTACATTTATGTTTTGAAAAATATTTTGTTATTTTTCTTTTTGTCTGTATAATATATGTACTTCACTTATATCTATTAAATTATTTTTTTATCTTAAGGAGATTATCAGCTTCAACTCTTATAGGTTTGCTTTTTCAATTTTCTTTCTCACTTTCATTTATAAAACTTGTATAATTTCTTCATTGCAAGATGAGTGATTTCAAACTAATATATGTGATCGTTTACTGAGTCAATAACATTTTTATCCTTAATTTTGCACAGAAACTTGGAGTTTCATTTGTATATATTTTTATTTAAAATTTTTGTATTGCACCTTGTGACTTTACTTAAGTTTGTACTGTTATTCTTATTTTTGTTATTTTGCTTTGTAGTTTCTTTCACCATTACAACATATATCATGCAATTTCCTTTTTAGCTTTTGTCTTATGAATGTATACTATTACATTTTTCTCTCTCAATATCATAACTTCACTAATTCGTAAGGATCATGTTTGGTATTGAGATAATAATTATTTTTTAAAATATTTTTTACTTGAAAATATATTAAAATAGTATTATTTTTATTTTAAAAAAATTATTTTTAACATTAATACATCAAAATGATCAAAAAAGCACTAAATTTTTTTTAAACAAATAATTTGTTTTAGATTTTTGAAAAATGATGTGTTCACTCTTAGAACCTGTTTCGGAGTGCAATTGGCAAAACAATTATTTATTTTTATTTAAAATTAATTTTTTTTATATTTTTAAAATTTTGTAATATATTTCTAAATATATTACACTTTAAAAACCAATCTTACCACATTTATAAACATTCACTTAAAGATAGCCTGCGACTTAGATGCTGCTTGGCGCTGTGGTTGCGTATGAGGTTGAGGGGCAACCACAGTGCTATTTGTTTGGTAAATGTTAAACGTGGTGTTGTTTTGGTGGGACCCACCAGAAAAGTGTCTCAAATGGTGTTTTATCAAAAGCACGAGAATCATGCGTCTGAAACGGTGTTTTATCAAAAGCACGAGAATCATGCTTCTCAACCTCAGTTTCTCCATTAACCACAATTAAAAAACTGGAAAAAATAGCCAACGGCTGGAAAATCAAACTTCCCCTCCCCGATTCCTTAAAAATCTAGAGCAAAACTATAACTTTCATCGACCACAAAATACACTTGTTGAGCCGTTGGAGGAAAACAAACTTGGGAGATAGGCTTTGATTTTTTGCAACATTATGGCAGTCGATACAAAAGATTGCATCAACAACAGATATATATAAGGCCACCGGAAGCTCCATTATGGTCTCCAAGCAGCAAGGCGCTGGGGGTGGGAGGGCAGTTGAAATAGGAATAAACTCTAAAAGACCATTACTAGGTTGAGAATTGCAAACAACAGTCCAGACCACAGCCCCAATTCCTCCCTAGTCCCTAAAAAAAAATCCTTGCAAAAATTCCATTAGTCCATCGACAACAAATTGAAGCTGTTGGAGGAAAATCAAACCTCCAGCAAAGGCCTCTCTCATCCTTTGCTTATGCTTAATCGAGATTTTCTTAGTCTTAATTTGCTCTCGGGGGGATAAGCTTTTCTCGCTGTTCACTTTTCTACTGTTGGAGGTAGGACTACTTTTTGCTTTTGCTTTCAAGAAGGAGCATAATTTCATAGTTAAAAGTTAAAGACGTCCCAATTTTTCCTACTTTTTCTAAGCGTTGGTTCTGCTTTCACTAGATTCTGTTTTTTTTTTTTTCACACATCCATTTTTAGGCCCTTCTTGAAATTCCCAGTTCCTCCCCGATTCGTCAAAAAAATCAAAGTATCAAAGAACCAATAGGGAAGCTTGATTGTTGTGGGTCAGATTCGGCTCATCCCTTTGGAAATAAATTTGTAGATTTGTCTCCTCCGACCATCTTCTTTCCTTTACTGTGGGAAAAAATTTTCCTTACTTTTTTCTAGTCGAGACGCGCTTCCATATTGTTGATCTTGTCTATTAATAAACAAAGGTATTTTTCTCATTTTTGCTCTTTCTTTCACAGTGAGTAATGTTGACGCTGTGCTAAACTTATACAAAATTATTACACGATCTGGGCTTGTCTGTGTTGTAGTTGCCGAAATAAGAATAATTTTGGTGCTGTATGAATTTGTTAATATTTACCTTGTCTGTTGTTAATAATTTTGGTTGGATTTACTGGATTAGCATATGGTGTAACTATGTTCTGTCGGTATGTTCACTATATATGAATTTGAGCTGTGATACCAAAGAATTGGAAATGATTTTCATGTATAAAGTTGATGTTTTCATTATGGAAGCCTATGGATCTGGGAATGTAGAAAAGACTAGAGAGTGGAAAATGCAAGTGCTTGAAATGTATTGCCATGTTGCTGGCAACTACCATGGAAACCTTTTACGAGCTACCTTTTGGAATTGAAGTGTTTGGTAGTGCAAAGAATATAGGATACACAAAGATTAGTGATGAGGTTTAGTGAATTCTTTTACCTGATGGTACATGAATTCATATATAGGAATGAACCATGTCTGACCTGCTAATGAATAAATTTTGACAAATTTGCTGAGCTTGTGCAAAATTGGTTTTGGGCCTCTCTTTGTTTTGTAGTTGCCAAACTTATAATAAATTTGGTGACAATAATTTGTTAATTTTTAGGTTGTCTGTTATGGTTCATGTGATCTTGCGAAGAAATATGCAGTTCTAGGTTTTATAATAATTTATAAAAAACATGGGTCAATGTAAAGTTTGATCTGAAATTCATATTACATCTCAACTGAGTTAGGATTACAAATTACAGCAAGTATTTAACTCATCAATTTCCAGTTTCCGTTGACATCACTTTGCTTCCTATAACCGAAGTTCTTATGCTGTAATAACAAACGATTCTGCAGCCTTATAGACTTGTTTCAACTCCACAACTGTAAATGGCTACTTGTTTGTTCAATTATTTCTAACAATTGCACTTGTATTGTTGATGAATTTCTTTACAGTTTTTTATTGGTGCAGGAGGCACAATAACATTACTCCTGCAAACTCCTCTGGAAACAAAAAAGAGAATCTGCTGTAAAATCGAGTAATGTGTTTCTGTTTTTTATAATTATGTAACTACTTGCCTAGAGAGGGTGCTAGAATATGTTCTTGTTTGCAAAATTGTGACCATATGTTGTTGTCATTCATGTTAACTACAACCACTATTGGGTTTGCATACTGAACTTAAAATAAATTCTGTTAGTTGCTGGATTAACTATCCATATGCTTTTCTCGGTCATGTGCCTTTATAGTTGTGCAAAACTGTAAACTTTGGTGATTGTTCTTATACTGTCTTTCAATTATAATTTTGTTGTTGCCAACTATTTGTGTCGTTGTAATTGTTTAAGGCTTGTATGCTATCAAATGCTCTAATCACTGGTGCATGTTTATAAACATAGCATATAAAAAGGAAATATGTCGGGCAAGGAAATTTTAAGGTATTTATCTACTGTTAAAATTTATTTATATATATTGGATGCTTTAAGTTCATTTTCAAAAATGGAAGTCTTAACCTTTTCGTTTCATTTTTAATTGTCGTTGTTGATTATTTGAATACTTGTATGTTGACTACATTTGTATTCAATTAGACGTCACATTCACTGCTTCTTATAACTCAATATTTTTGCTTCCAAATATAATGACCGAACTAGGAATGGAAGCTCCTGAAAATATGAATAAAACAGCATGGACTAAAGAAATGTTGCATGTCTTTTGTGACCTTTGCATCAAGGCTATCGACATGGGAATGAGACCAAATACTCATTTCGACAAAGCTGGTTGGAAATATTTGTTGGCATCATTCAAAGAACATACTAGGCATGCCTTCACCAAGGCACAACTGAAGAACAAATGGGATGACTGCAAAAAGGAGTGGAGGATATGGAAGAAGCTCATTTCTGAAACTAAAATGGGATGACTGCAAAAAGGATTGAAGGATATGGAAGAAGCTCATTTCTGAAACTGGTGTTGGCTGGAGTACTGAATTAGGAACGATTTCTGCTAGTGATGAGTGGTGGAAATCCAAAATTCAGGTTATCTGGCATGATCCTTAATCTTTAATTTGTTTATATCTGAGTTCAGTTATCAATAAATTAGGTCAAGTTGTATGAAATAATTTTATTTCTTTTTTTATAGGAAATACGGGGGGCTAAAAAATTTAGACACGCCGGTATCGAACCATCTTGGTCAGGTGCTAGCTGAGATGGTATCGAACCGTCCTTGTGTATAAAGTACGATAGAATGTTCACAAACATTATTGCTATAGGTGATTATGCGTGGGCACCATCGTCTGGAGTCTTACCTGGTCATAATATTGATGTTGATGGCAATCAACATACCAATGTTGAACAGCCTGATTTGGAAGAAGGAAGCGGTGATTCTGAAGAGGATGGAATTCCAAATTTTACTGATGATGTTTGCAACATGGTTAGGGGGGTTAATATGTCTACCAATAGCAACAGCCGTAGTAGTGGGAAGAGGAAAGAAAGAGAACGGTTTGAGGTTCAAGCTAGGAAAAAAAAAAGGAATTCTGGAATTGGGTTTCAACTACTATCACGATGGGATCAAATGGTTGACAACATGTCAAACAATAGTGATTCCACATCTATCAGTAAAGATCGGGAAGGGTGTAGTATTCGTGAGGTTATGACCGAGCTGCACTCAATTGAAGGAGTTCATATCGGTGATGATTTTCATGGGTTTGCTACTGAGTTTTTAGGTTTAAGAAGAAATAGAGAAATGTGGCAAACTATGGGTAATCTTGAAAACAAGATGAAATGGTTGTAGAGAATGTACACACGACGTAAAGGACCTTAAACCGATAGGTATATATTAATCCCAAATGCCTACTTTCATATATTTATTGCTAATATTATTATTTAAATTGTTATTAAACATGTTTTTAAATTTCTGCTCATATAAATTTGCAGGTTAATAAAGTTGCAGAAAATTTTTGCTCATTTATATAAATTTGCAGGTTAATAAAGTTGCAGATTTCTTTAGCTGATATGGAGTAATATATTTATTATGTACCGATTATGGATTGTATTTTGATGTAGTTTGAAGCTATAGTGTTATTTGAGAATTGTTGAGTTTTATTAGTTGCGATGTAAGATAATATGATTTATTATGAATTATATTAGTTTATAATATGGACAATACTTTTAGTTTTTAACTAATAAATATGTTGGTTGATGATGTAAATCAAATGTATTGTTTCATTTGACAAAACAATTTCACTCATAAATTCCAATGCACTATAATATATTGTTTCATTATAATAACAAAGCAAAAATTAAATTGCATTGGAAAAGGATTAACGAGAAGGAAAATAAAAGAATATTCAAAAGGTTAAACGTAAAAGTTTTTGCAGCTTTCTTAACCAAATTTTACTTTTATTGATTTTTTGCATTCTTAAGCCATTTTTCACTTATCATAATTAATTAATTTTCAAATCAAGTCATCCACGTCCAAATCGATCATGTCTTATAGATTTTTTCATAGAGTTGAAATTTCCAATAATAACCTAAATATGGGTTTTCAAGGAATCATATTTATAAGTGAGAGAGAAGATAAAAAGCAAGAAGTGTTGTTCAATCGAGCATTTATCAAAGCAAAAGTCACATGCAATCTGTAAAATAGAACTGCAAACTGATGTATTGCAGTGATGAGCAATAATGTTACCTGATGAGACAAACAAAAGCAATGCAATACACATCAAAGCTGCATCAAAAGCAACACTGAATGAGCTGCTGCACCAAAGTATATTCATATGTGACTGTGTCAAGGACATTTCCACATGGGTTAACGTCTTTCAGAAGAAGAAAAAGATGAGGAATATTCACTGTAGAGATGGCAATTAACATAAGAAAAAACAAGAAAAAAAACTATAAAACCTGACAATGAACCACCTGAAACAAAGGAAACAAACCAAAACAGAGGCAAAAGAGAGGGAAACATGGGCACAAAATAGAGGCACCATCAGATAGCTCCCTCATCTCTGTGAAAATAATCGGCCGAACCAGATGGGTGGAAGCAATATGAAGGACAACCCATAATTTGATTTGTGAAACACACTGACAAGGTCACGCAACCATTTATGTTCTATAAGAGAGCCGAACAACAGCAATAAACAGAGGTTAAAATAGGGGCACGACCACATGACTTCCTTATCACCGTCATGCTAACCACCATCCGTCACTGTCCTCAACATCAGCACCACCATAAGCGGAGATAAAAAAATCTGAAACAAACATACAAAGTAGTAGAGACAGAGAGAAAGAAAAAGACCAGAAACAGTTGACAGATAAGAAGGACCAGTTTCTATAAGCCAACCAGCACCCTCGATTCACCATTAACCACCACCGTTCAGACCGCCAGGCAGACATTGGAGCCGCACAAGGTAGCTTCATCTTCCCTTTCCCCTTTTTCTTCTTCTACCTCTGCAAAAATTCTAGGCGGCCTCCACTGTTCATGTGAACAGTTGATGCCGAGTGGAATTTCTGCAAAGGAAAATCGGGTCAAAACTACCCAAATAATATTTTTCAAAAGAAATCAAAACAGTATTGTTTTACAGTATTTATTTGTTTATCTATTTAGCAGTATACATATGGACAATACGAGTTGTAATGCAATATTTAATGAAGATTTGGATGATGATTATGAAAATATCATGGAGTGTGTTGTTGATCACATCAACTATCGTAGTGATTGTGATAACGGTGGCTTAGGCGAGGATGCTGATGATGGGCCAAACGACGACGACGACAATGATAGTGATGAGGATGATGAATCATTTCGAAGGCGAGAGTTTGATAGGAAAAAGTTAGTTGTGTGCACAGTTGGGGCCATACACATGTATTATATTAATTATATATATAAAAAACCATGTATGGTTTCGTACAACACGGGCATGCGTTGGTTGACCGAAGTTTTACAAAGACATTGGAAACGATGTGTGAATATGTTTAGAATGGACACATCAACTTTGTTGAGCCTTTGCAGTGATTTAGAAACCAGGTATGGGTTAAAACCTTCGAGAAGGATGAGTGTGATTGAAAAAGTGGCTATATTTATGTATAGAATAGCACTTGGAGCATCAAATAGGGAGGTTCAAGAGCGATTTCAACATTTGGGTGAAACTGTTAGTAGATGCATCAAGGAAGTATTAACAGCAGTATGTTTATTTGCAGTAGATGTCATAAAACTAGAGGACCCAAATTTTACAAGTACTCCACGAGAAATCGCCATGAATCCCAGATATATGCCTCATTTCAAGGTCAGACAAATATTTGTTAATGTTGGCAATGTGAAATTTGGATAAATTTTTTGCATGTTAGTAATTAATGAGTTTATATTGTCAATGGTTTTCATGTAGGATTGTGTTGGTGCAATTGATGGAACACATGTGCGAGCTTGCATATCAACTGAAAATCAAATTCCATTTATCGGAAGAAAGGGTGTACCGACTCAAAACATTATGGTTGCTTGTAATTTTGACATGCAGTTCATGTTTGTGTGGGCAGGATGGGAAGGCAGTGCTCACGATACACGTATTTTTCTTAAGGCAATTGATAATAGAAATATAAAATTTCCTAAACCACCAGAAGGTAGTTGTTATACAATATAAGTTGTTATGTAATTATAAGTTGTTAAATTTGTGAAATTCGTATTAATCATTTGGCAAATGTAAATGATTTTTGTAATTACAGGTAAGTACTATCTAGTTGATTCTGGATATCCTAATGAGTATGGGTATTTAGGTCCATATAAAGGTCAGAGATATCATTTCCAAGAATTTCGGCGGCGTGGACAACCAATAAATCGACAAGAAGTTTTTAATCGTGCACATTCATCACTACGTAATGTGATAGAACGTTCTTTTGGAATATGGAAACAGAGATGGAGGATTCTACAAAACATGCCTGCTTATCATTACAAAACACAAGTTGAAATTGTAGTTGCATCAATGACACTACATAATTACATTAGAAGGAGATCGCATGATGACGTTGTATTTGCAGAATTTGATCGTAATCCTAATTTTGTACCTGATGACATTTTACCCGATGTTGTTGCATGCGCAGGAAGCCAGGGAAACTATAGTCAAGGCATGATGGATTTCGTACGTGATGGAATTGCAGATAGTTTAATGGAACAGTGAAACATATATTATCTAAAGTATTTTTATTTGATGATGTAATAGCAGTAGTTAAATCTATAATATTTCAATAAAAAATCATCAATATTAATATATGTATATTTTGGTTATTTTATACCCTGAATCTGAAAAGCTTGATCGTTTGAGATTATATGATAACGATGGCAGCTCACAATGTTTTTCGTTTTGAGATATATCTTATGAGATTTTTTTTTTTAAATTATGTTTGGCATCAATACAATAAAACAATCTAAAAAAATTTAAAGAAATTATTTTTAGGAAAAAATAGAAAAAAAATTCATTATTTTTTAGAACACGGTTTGCACCGCGTTCCCAAACGATTACCAAACACACGAAACTGCTTTTTGTTTAACCTCAAGTTGAACTACAGTTTTAACCAAATAGTCACAAAATAAAACTAATTTCAACTAAAAATACTTTTTTTTAAATAATTTTTTTAAAATCACAATCACAACAACTACAACAATACCAAACACACTCTTAGTGCTAGCATCCTATGCAGTTTATCCTAAAACGAAAGGCTTGTCGTCTACACTGTAGTCCTCGGTTGCATTTACTCACAACAAAAGACATGTCATAGTGTGAACTCTGAAAAACACGTTAAAATTTCTTTTATGTCTTAACACATG